CCTAACCCCTAAACCCCAAACACCTAAACCCTAAACCCTAAAGCCCTAAAACCCTAAACCCTAAATCCCAAACCCCAAACCCTAAACCCTGAATCGTACCCTGGGACCTCTCATCTCCGGCTCAAGGTCCGACCGGATGCTTTGGCCATCCTCGGCCCCCTTTCTGGCGCACAAGCAAAGGGGTTTTAGGGGGTTTAGGAGGCTTTAAGGGGGTTTTAGGGCCATTAGGGAGTTTAGGGGGTTTTAGGGGGTTTGGGGGTTTAGGGTTTTAAGGTTCGGGTTTTGAGGGTCTGGGTTTTGGTTTCGGGGTTTAGGGTCTCAGTAAGGGACGGGCATCAATAGTTGGAGACAGGGTTTGGGGGCACGTCGCTACATAATCACCGTAGATCCTAAATCCTAAACCCCCAGAAATCACATTAGAGACCATGATGTTGCCGATTATTCCGACGACCCCCCCCCCCATGGCAAGGCGTTTGGGGACGCTCAACAGATTTGACGATCCAGGTTTAGGGCCTTGGGGGTGTATGTTTCACATGATATGGGCTCCTCTAAAGGCAGCGCAAAGCAGGGATTGAAGATTTCAGAGGTTTAGGCCTTGTTGGGTTTGGGTTTTTCCATCGGGATTCTACTACAAGGGCGTTGTGTATTAACAGGGTTCTAGAAGTTTTTTTTGTATTTGTCTTCGGGTCGTTCGGCCTGTCGGGTGTAAAAGCTACCATAATAGAGATTTTTAGCAAATAGTAGGGTTTCTTTATTATGGTAGCTTAAACTAAGTATTAAGGAACTTATCTATAGCAAATAAAAGGGTTTCTTTATTATGGTAGCTTAAACTAAATCAAACGCCTTAACAAGAACCCAGTAGCTGTACGTGTCGACACGCCAAGACCTCACCAGCCCTCAGGCTCCGACTTCAGGGGTTTAGGGGTTTAGGGTTTTAGGTTTTAGGGTTTTAGGGTTTTAGGGTTTAGAGTTTAAAGTTTAGGGTTTAGGGTTGAGCTTAAGAGCAGTGATGTCACGGGCACTTGCTTGGAATAGTCAGAGCATGTCAGAGCCGTTGGGACAAGAGTAAAGCTCGGCACTGACAGTAATGTTCAAACTCCTAGGACACTTCAACCCTAGACCGTATACCCCAAGCCCTAAACCCTCAACCCTAAACTCTTTCCTACCGTATAGTAGACTCCCTATAGTATAGATCCTGTAAAGGAGCCCTTCAACCCTAAACCCTTCAGCTCTCTGTCACAGAGCCCTTATTATTAAAACCGACAGCCTTTATTGCCCCCTCATCGAATCCCTGGCAGAACCCTTAAAGGAACCCCAAGAAAGGTAATGCAACCCTAAACCCTTATGGATCCCTAAACCCTAAACCCTAAACCCTAAAACCCTATACCCTAAACCCTAAAGCCCTAAAACCCTAAAACCCTAAAACCCTAAACCCTATCCCAAACTGGGTTCCCAGGTTGGGAAGGCTTTCGGGTGCACAGCGGCAGCATCGAGCGGATCTCTCTGTCAATTCCGTGGACCCGGCTCTACACAGGCACCGCGAGTTTTAGGGTTTAGGGTTTATGGTTTGTTTCTGGCTTCCTAAACAATGGAGGCTTCATATCCGGGTTCGATGAGAGGATGAAGGATCCGCATGAGGCGGTTTAGTATTCAACTCTGAGGCCTTACACGTGCTGTCCAGACACTTTGTGGAGCTCGCGAAGCCCGGATGTGCAGCTGTCTCCTTTGCCCATGCGAGGCAAAGTGCGCGCCTTCATCAAGTGCTTGCGCCTCCTGTCTCAACCCTAGGCCCTAGACGCTGAACCCTAAACCCTAAACCCTACAGACGCTGAGATCATGAAGGTGGAGGAGGGAAAGGACGGACCTTCCATGTGCCAAGCCTTGTCTGCCAGAGCTAGGTATCCATTGTTGTCAGTATCATTTCATCTGTTTGTTGAAAACACCTAAAGACCGGTGTTTTCTAAACAGCCCATCTCCATCTGCAGCTTTAGCCTGGCACGTGCCTCATCCTCGGCAGCTCCATTTTCAGGAGCAGCTGTCGGTTTGGGTTTAGGGTTCCTTTTTCCAGGGGCCCCTACCCTGTTGGGCTTCAAGCAAAAGGGGAGATGCCCTATCCTAGTTTTTTGCTGATGTGCCTTATTTTTTGGACAGGAGACACCTCTCGACCCCAGGATTCAAAGCCAGCTTCAAGCGTGAGGCTTACCCTAAACCCTAAGCCCTACACCCTAAACCTTCTAAGCCTTAAACCCTAAACCCCTTAGACCCTAAACCTTAAACCCTAAACCCCAAAGCCCTAAACCCCGTAAACCCCCTAAACCCCCTAAACCCTAAACCCAAAGCCCTAAGCCCGAAAAAGCCTAAGCCCTGTCCTAAACCTTAAACCTTAAGCTCCAAAGCCCTAAACCCTAAGCCCTAAGCCCTAACCTGCCAAGCCCCCAAGGCTTGGAGGTCGAAAGCCTCGCTGAGAGCGCTCATGGCAAGAGTGAGGCGAGCCCGTTTTTTTTGGCGGTTTGGGGAGTTAGGGCTTTTGGGGTTTAGGGCTTTTAGGGCTTTTAGGGGTTCAGGGGTTTAGGGCTTAAGGTTTAGGGGATTTAGCGATTAGGGGTTTAGGCTTTTAGGGTTTAGGGGGTCAGGGGTTTAGGGCTTAAGGTTTAGGGGATTTAGCGTTTAGGGGTTTAGGGTTTTAGGGTTTAGGGGATTTAGGGTTTAGGGATTTTAGGGGTTCAGGGAATTAGGGGGTTTCTTTAGGGATTTTGGGTTAAGGAATCAGGGTTTAGGTTTTAGGGACGAGGGATGCCTAGGCTTTAGGGTTGAGGGATCAAGCCGGTGTTCTGGGGGTCGGAAAGCATGTCTACAGCGCCAATTCTAATTATTGAACTTGGCTCCATGACCCTGCGATGCTTGAGACCTTGCCAGGCGGAGCTTATCAAGGAGATGCGCGATGCCAAGGAGAAGGCAAGGCAGACCCCGATCCCCTCGGGTTTATAGGGCTCAGGGTTTAGGGTGTATAAGGTTTAGGGCTCAGGGTTTAGGGTTTAGAGTGTATAAAGGGCTCAGGAGTTTGGGGCTCAGGCTTTAGGGTGTATAAGGTTTATAGGGCATAGGGCGTCTAGGGCGTCTAGAGGTTTAGGGTTTGGGGCTCTGGGTTTAGGGTGTAGAAGGGTTATAGGGCTCAGGGCTTAGGGCGTCCAGGGGTTTAGGGTTTCGGGCAGGGTTTAGGTTTTTAGGGTGTATAAGGGTATTAGGGCTCAGGGCTTAGGGCAGTCTATGGGTTTAGGGTTTCTGGCCCAGGGTGTAGGGTGTATAGGGTTTACGGCAGGGCTTGGAGTTTCAGATTCCGCAGCACGCGCGCACGGTGAGAGGTTGGGTGTGTGACATCACGAGGTTCTCGATCCTCTAGTGCGGCAGCCTGGGTGTCGAGCTGGAGGGTTGATTACAGCATTCGGATTCGGTTGGCGGTCGACGAAAGTGTGCGAGAAGGATGAAATGCGGGGCCTTGCTTCACAATCACCCGCCTGTGCAGAAGCTTCGGCCATCCTGGCTCGAGGTGTTGCATTCTTGGTAGCTGTGTAGGTAACCTTCATTTACCTTTTGGGTTCATATATTCCAATGTATATTTATTCCTACCAGTATTCAGCCCCTAAGGCGTTCGAGGCGGGATGCCGTGGACGGTTCCGGCTGAGGGTTTCTAGTCGTGAAGGCGGCATTGGGCATCGAATCTTAAGTCTTGGCTTCGTGAAAACGGTGAACTACAGGTACCAAAAGGACCCATGTGGGGCGCTTCTGAAATCCTCCCCCCACAATCCCCCAAACCCTAACTCCCATCAAAACTGGGGTGCGCCCGGCTCGGTGGTCTTTATGATTTGGGATTCGTGTTTGGACTCGGCTGCTGGATTCGTCGAAGCTCCCATGGCCCATGATCAATATAGAGGCCTAAACAATGACCAGGACTACGTCGGGGTTCCTTATTGTAGTTATAGCAAGTTATAGTATAATGCAGTATAATATACTACCTCGAGGTTCCTTACTATAGTTCTATAGTACGTTTTGTTATAGTAGGATATACCCCCAAACCCTATTCTACTTATTAAGGCCGCACTAGTACTAGTACCTCATCGGCCCACACACTAGGTGTAAGTCTAGGCCTTGGCGGCCCCCAGGCCCAACACGAAGCCTTCCGCAGGCCATCGACGTCCGCATGCAACAGCTCCAGGACTTAGTTGACCGCAGCAAGGACCCGGAACCGGAAGTCGGGGTCGGGTTCGAGCATTCGAGAGCGGGGTTACGTCCGACAGACGTTCGAAGGGTCTTTTTCCGATAGAACCCTAAACCCTAATCCCTAAACCCTCTCAGGGTCTCCAAACTGGCAACAGCCAGTTGGGCATAAGCTGCAACCGAATATTTTTTAACAACCCTGATTGTAACCTCCCCCTCAACCCTAGACCCTAAAGAAAAGGTCTACCCACAGTCTCCATCGTAGTTCCTGTTTTTGGTGTAACAGGCTTCATGCTGAGGATCTTATGAGGTATCCAATAAGGAACTACAGCTGAGAGTATAGGTACTGGGCCAACAGCCGCAGAAGCAAAACGCAAAAAATAAACAGCCCCACCTGGTCCTGGTAGGACAGCGACGATGAAAACGCTGTCAGCGACAACGCCAGCCGCTGGTTTCATATCGCTTGGATTCTCTCAAGCTCGGCGTGCCGAGATTGCTGGGTTTTAGACTTATTCTGGGTGTTGGGATTGAATCGGCCAGAAAGAAGCTGAAGTCTAAGAGACGACTAACTTGTGCAAACCGCCACCTGCCCCTAAAAACCCCAAAAACCCAGGTCTTGGCATGAACTTGGCGCGGAAGATCCTCAACAACATCACGGTGGTCTTGGAGGCCTCGTGTTTTCGGGTGATACGAATATACACTGTACTGTTGAATAAGAATAGAAGTAATGGTAATGACAGCAAAGTCATATTCGTTTCGAAGTTCGAAGAGTGTTACTACTCTACGCTCTTTCTAGGACAGTTGCTTGTTGCGCTGGATCTATGGATCTTTCGTTCCGGACTGGGGTTTCGAGTATTCACAGTTCATGCCTAGGTTCTTATCAAGCATACTGCATACAAGATCGACGGACTCTAAGAACCCCCTGGAGCATACCAGAGCTTATTGGCTTCGAGGTTCAAGATTTTATTTGCCGGAGGCCCAAGGGTTATTAAGTGTTAGTATGTCGTGCGAAAGTCAGATTGTAACCCTCCCTTTTGTTGTTTGTCATTCCCCTCAGTGGTTGCGAAGGTCCTCGATTCCCGAACTCCTATATAGGAAAGATGAGGAAGGTTGCATTAATGCAGCATCACCAACTGGAAGTTGTCTGCAGATCTGGGTCCATGAACCAAGACCGCAAACTCGAGAATCGTCAGCCTATCGTACAACATCTAGCTGCTAGCTAGCTTATAAGTGTCGATAGCTACACAGATGTTCCTAACCCTAAGGTTGTGTACCGTTCCTTATGCCAGTATTCGTAGTGGGAAAGCCGCAACCCAGCGAAAGCCTCTTTGCCCAACAGGATGTCCATGTTGCTTTCATGAACAGCCAGCGTGGGCTTGCATGCTGCATGGAGTCTCGGCAGAACGCAAACCTCGTGACAATGATGGACAGGTTGATTTCCTGCGGCACTCCCCAAACCAAGATTACGTGTGCTTTGCTGATTATTTGAATTGCTGACATCACCTTGGCAGAATTGTGATGCTTGAAGCAAGCTCAGGACTTGCCAAACTTGGCGGTCTTGTCTACAGATAAGACATTCCGCGAGCGGGATGACTCAGAAGGCGAGGGTGGTCGCCCCTTGTGCAAGAAGGTCTGAATTTAATATTCAGAGCCGAGACGGTGCACACATAGTGCTGCACAGTTATTGTTATGGAATGAGGCACCCCAAACAGTAAAAGACAAGTGGTCTTTTGGAACTCAGTATTTACAGGGGATATGGCTTTTGGTCCGCCGCTGTGGGCGGCTAGGCCATGGGGCGGCATGTTTGCTTGATTTTGTTGGAGGTTAGGGGCCATGCTGGGTCCAGAGGCAACTTCGTTTGATTCGCATTTATCTGTCCTTGGGCCCAGTCACTTTCCCCGGCCAACAGAGGGATCACACCAGTTCCTTCAGGCTTTGGAACCCCAAACCCCGGAGGGAAAAGGCAAATCTTGGCATACAGCCTCCCTAAACCCTAAACCCTAAACCCGCCTGGTCCAAGCGCCCATGTCGCCTGCGGAGGTGCCGTGGTTCCTGGCGAGTCGATGTACAAAACTCTACAGATGAAGGCAGCAGGGAACGACTCAGGGGCTCGGGCTGGACGGTTGAAGTTTGGGTCACATGGACTCTACCTATAGTCTCCATTGTAGTTCCTTTTTTTGGTTTAACCAATTTTGTATTAAGGATCCTAAAAGGTAAAGGAACTACAATGGAGACTATAGGTAAGATTTCACTTTCATTGCACACCCTCATGATTCCTGAAGGTTTCCGGATTCTCAGGAAGCTTTCTTCACTTTTAAATTGCTGAGCTGAGATCCGATTATCATGATTCTTGTTGTCCTTGGAGCAAAAATACCAAGATTATTGGAGCATGATTCAGAAACCTCGGGCCTTTATTTTACGTGTTAGGTTTAGGGTTTATTAGGGTTCTTTAGGTAAGTTCTGACTGACGGCAAGATGGCTGGAAGGCCAGGCTTCGAGAAAGGTTCGCCAGACAGTATGACTAAGCACGTCTAAACTTAAAATTCCAAAAGAAACCCAACAGAAAGCATACATATAAGACCCCAAAGCCCTACTCCAAGGAACCCTTGAAAGCACATTAAAAAAAAAACCTAAACAGGCCCGCCAGCCTGATCCCCCGAGGTGGTGTTCGATGGCATTGCGTATCCTTGTACATACCTGTTACTATAGCATGTCCTCCTCGTGCGTAGAAGCAAATTGCATTCAGATCTTTCTTCAAGCTTTTTCACCGCGGAATGGTGTATTTTGCTGGGCAGGTGACTGCAATATTTGTATATCTGTACATCTCATTGTCAGAGCCGCCCGCGAAGGACTTTAGCGTCCGAATGTCGCCCGCTGGCACCAAAGACCTCCAGGAGCACCCTACCTATAGTCTCCATTGT